AATTTCTTTATTTTATTTTATTTTTGGTGGGGGGCATGAAGGTGAGGTGATAATGGGAAGGTATACGGGCGCGTCTGTGCGAAGGATTATGATTTTCCCAACTGCCAGGATCAAGCGTGCAACACATTTTTTTGGGGGCGCGGATAGAGGGTGGTGTGGTTGGTTTGTAGTAAGGATGGATCCAAGTGCCTTTGCTTTCAACCTTGCTAATAAGTAAATAGCTCCCTCCTTCCTTCTTTCCTTCCTTTCGACACCCATGTCCACTAGGTCATTCGCTTTTCTGTAACCTGCCTTCAATAAAGTGATCATTTTGTGACATTCTCTCTCTCTCTCTCTCTAAAATATCACTAATCTCGGTGTAGATTGAGGTGACTAGCAAGGATCACCTAGAGAGGGTGAATAGATGATTTGAGTACTTTTTGATCAATTTAAAGCGGAAATAATTGATCAAGGATAAAATCTTAACGTTGTTCAGATTTTGAACAATCTATAAGTAGATGTGCAATGCAATAAATAAAATGAGTTTAAGGGATGAGAAAAATTGCACACAAGACGTATAGTGATTCGGCTTAGATTAAGCCTACGTCCACTCTCCCACGCGACAGTCTACTAGTTGAATTCCACTAGATGATCAATGAAGAGATTACAACGTGAGTGATAATCCTCGGTGTATGATAAGTCTCACTATCTCACTCAATGACTCTTTTCAGTGTATCTTAAAAATTACACTTTAAAGCTCACGAAAGACAAGTATATAGATGACAAAATCTGAATCAAGATGTTTTGCATATTAAACCATTGCAAAACAATCTTCAAGATCGAGTCAATCAATTTATTTTAAGTGTGAAATTCAAGCCAGATTACTAGCCGTTATGTACGTTCGATATTGTATTACGTTCTGGACTTTACGATATGGACTTACGTTCGAACTTGTGTCTGAAGTTTATCACGTGCGGTATAAAGTCTAAACCTCTTTATCTGCAATATAAAGTCTGAATCTCTTCATTTGTAGTATATAAAGTCTGAACTTTATCTTTTGCAGTATAGAATATGAACTTCTCCTTCTGGTTCATGTAAAGTCTAGTCCTCTCGAAGTATAGATTTGCCATCTCCAGAATATAACTTCCTGGATTAAATACTTCAAAGTATTTGTCAGACTTACAAAATTCTCATGGACAGTTTTGTCAACTTCAAAATCTATTAGGAGATTTTCCCAACGTAGATTATGTCTGCAAGAGTTATATCTTAGGATACCACCTAATTTTATTGCAATCGGAGCTTCATCTCTCTCTAGGATGAGCCATATGGGCATAAGATGTAGATCGACAGTGTCACGAGCAGCGGATTCTTACGATAGTAACAAAGTAATTTGATGAACTGATTGTGCTGAAATTACACGAGTTGAAAAATGCCCGGAATGGCACACGTTGATTGTCGCTTGACAATCAATAAAAATCAGAAGTTTCGAGCAATCGCAATCCTTTTGCAGTAAACAAACAACTAACGATTGAAGGGAACTTGATTTGATCTTGGTTCTTGAAGTGGAGGTCTAAAATAATTCGAACACTCAATTCTCGGGTTCAAAGAAGTTTGGTTTTGCCTACATTAAATATGGTGCAGGAAATTGAAGAACATAAAGGAAAGCATAAGCAAATTGCATTTACATGATAGAAAAATGATGTGCGGTTAGAGTAATATTTATAAACTACCCACTGCCTATTTATAGGCTATTGGATATACGACTTTTTATCACACTGACTACCACACAACATCATATAAAAATAAAATGAAAAATTTGTCCAAAAATTCCAAACCCGTTGTATGGTGGCCAATTTAGTCCAAAACTTTTCAATTTGGCCAATTTAATCTAAACTTTTTTATGATTTTTCAATGTAAGCCTTCCAGCCAATTTTTATTGGAAATTATTGACATGGCATGCAAGTCCTCGCCCAATCGCCGGCAATAGTCGTGGATCATCGCCATGGCCCTTCCAAGAGATGAACAGTAGAAAAAAGAAAGAAAAGAAAAGAATAAAAAAATTATACAAATTTTTGGAAAATTTGCAAAAATCGTTTACGTCATTGCCGGCAGTACCACATAGGATGGCCAACGTTAACTGAATCATTACATCAGCGATTTCTGGTCAAAATTGGCCGAGACTACATTGGAGAATCGTCAAATGGTTAGAACTAAATTGGTCAATTTGAAAAGTTTATGATTAAATTGGCCGCCGCACAATGGATTTAGGATTTTTTTGGATAATTATCCCAATTAAATTGTTACAAGTTTGAAAGAAGACAAGTGCCATTAACTTCTCACTAACAAATAGGACTTTTGAGAGAATTCTAATAATGATAGAAATGTTTGTGCTTTATTTTTCTGAGGGTGAGAGAAAAAATAAAACAAAAAAAATGGGTTCTTTCTAATAAATAATGAAAATTTAAGTTTGAAAATCATGCAGTTAATCTCATTTGCTTTTGGTTGAATTGGGAAAAAATGGGACACCACAAAGAACTGAACAATGAGCCATACAAGGTAGGAAATTGTCTGAGCACGGTTCTAAGGGAAGAAATCAACCCACGTAGTCTAATCGGGGAGAATAGGCGGTGCGATAGGGAAACTCGGAAATTATGAAGGCTCGATTCGATAAAGCTGCAGAATACTTGCAACTTCCATAATCTCTATCCATTTATAATGAGCCGATTGAATTCGAACCAATTGCAACATAGTAGAAACTTTTGTTGACACAGTTTTGTGGATGTAGAAGACAAATCTCTCGATCAGATGGCAAACAAACTCTGTATTAGGCAAGTCGCAAAATCCAAGACTTAGGTGCTAACAAGTGCTCCCTTACTTAGTTGTAAATTACCCAATTAGTCATAAAACGGATGCTAGTTCAGTTCTAAATTTTCGAATTCTGCCAGTGCAGTCCTAAACCTTTTGATGATTGCTAAATGAAATCTTTCCATCCAATTTTAGCTTGAAGATGCGAACGTACCATGTAAGAGCAAGAGTGTTCGATTATGGATCTCGATGTATCATTGTGGAGATGACTTCCACTTTATAAAAATAGGGTTAATACCGCCAAAAAATCTCAAACTGGTGTAGCCGTGCCACAATTACCCTAGGCTTATTTTCATATCACAAAAAATCACGAATCGGAATACTTGTGCCACATTTACCCTAAAAAAATCCATGCTTACCACAATTTGGGGAAAATGTGGCATGAATACATCAATTTGGGTAAATCTTGTAACGCCCCAGAACATCACACGTGACACGTGTCTTTACCAAATATATTTTATAACTAGTATTAGCATGCGGAAGCACAAAGAATTGTCCACATCATTCCAAACAATAAAAACCCCCGCGTTTAATGATGTGCATATACTTTTTTATATTAATGCCACTAGTTACCAACTTAACACAAAATTCAAACAAATACAATTCAGGGGTTGATGGTCTCTGGCATCTTCTGATGTCATCTTAATTGTTTGTCTTTGGAATTGCACTCAACCAGAGGAGTTCTTGCTGGAGAAAGAGCTAGGACTTTCCAGCTTCTGAGTGTCAGCCTGTTTCATTTCGGAATATGTATTGATAAGAGTAGTCTTTCTTCACTTTTAGAAATTTCAATATGTGGAGGAAGAACTCTTTCAATGGCTTCAATTTTGTATGTCTTCAAAAAAAGGTAAGAATATTGCCCGGTAGAAAAAGCGATATTGCAGCAGATTGAATCCATGGTGTATAATTCCTATTCACCATTATGTGGCTTAGCTTCTACTCAAGTTGGGATACAATAACTGTTGATACCGGCCCCCATAGTGGCGGTTCTTGTTTAGTAGATAGTGCACCCGTGCGTGTCTTTGTTCTTATCATTTTCCCCTTGCAATGCAGGTTGAAGTTTTCCGTCTCAAGCAGAGGTTGCAATCTATGGAAAATAGAGCCCCCACTCCAAGGAAATCTTTTCATGTTTAGCAGCATAGGATCGTTCAGAATAATGAACAAGTTTTTCTTGGCAGTATCTTAGCGAGCCGACCCTCTCCAATCTATACTCACTTTGACCGTAGAGTCTCTTGCCTATGAAGGCAGTGGCGAACGAGCATGAACATTGGGCAAAGGACCACTTAAGACGAATTTTGTGATACGTGTGCTCATTTGTAGATACGAGTCAAACAGTTTTAGTGGCCTATTAGGTAACTTGTAGTTTATAGTCAATCAGTTCATCTAGTGGGTAATTAGCGTGGATCTGGCTAATCCTAGTGCAGGATAACAAACTGTAATGTTTATGTGAATATGTGAAATTATTCATATGCACGCGGCAGTCGGCAAGAATCACTTAGTAGACGAATCTGGCGATAAATACCGTGAAGTCAGTTGTAATTACTAAAAGCATATCGTGGATTTACTTCATATCAAAGAGCAATTGGACTATTGAATTCATTGTACTGTCAAGCGAACACATGCGCATTGAGCGAGCAATTTGGCAATATCGGAGTTGGAAGGCCATCAAACACGGCAAAATCCATGAAGAGATCACTTTCTTTTTATCCTGGGGCCATTCATGAATAAGAGTCTAAACTAGCAATCCTTGTTATATTGCCCGACCTCGAAGTAATTATATTGGTTGTGACTTAAGCTTAAACAAAATTCCACATTTTACCGTCCGATACACCATTTCTAATAGGTAAAGTAACATAAAACCTTAACGAAACAACCTTTTCGTTATGGTTCTAAACAGAGAAGCCATAACACGTCAAATGTCAATTGAGGAGTTGCAGATTCGTAAACAATGCTAGCATAACAGTCACCATTACTCACAGGTACTATTGGAAGTAATGGTGGCATGTGGACCACGAGTTATAATGGAGAGTAAAAGGGCTACTTATCGACATGCCACCTTACTTGCAAAAATAACGGTGGCCGTTACTCAAGTGTTTTCCAAGATTCATTCAGGTGTTGGAGGGCCAACAACTTTGGTCAAACCGCATGACCACCAACGTGAATGAATTAACGTTATACTCCAAATAAGAAGATGCGCACATTACAAAATTGGAAACCGTGAAAGAACGATATATCCAGGCAAGCAAAAGAAAACGGGAAGGAAATCCCACTAAAGATTTCCTTCCCTATCCACAAGAGTGTACGTATTGAATATTGCATCTTTCCATACTTGGTTGTGTATCTCTCTATTCCTTCAGTATGTAAATAACACCATTCACCATCCAATTCCTATCTCTCACACGCAAAAAATTTTCAACTCCCAATAGCAACAAAAAACAGATAAGGATGAAGAACTTCCAAGTTGCAGCAATCCTGGTACTCGTTCTGTTCTTAGCGACAAGTAAGCTGCCTCTTCCAGATACGTATGCATATGTATTATATATAAATCTAACTTTTTTTTCGGGGATGGGGGGCATGAAGGCGAGGTGATAGTGGGGATGTATGGGGGGAATCTCTGTGTGAAGAATTATGATTCTCCCAACTGCCAGAATCAAGTGTGCAACACCTTGTGCGCCAAGACTAAGACTAAGGGAGCCATATTGAAGCCTTAGGGGGCATGTAGTAAGGATGGATCCAAGTGCATTTGCATTCAAATTTGCTAAGCCTGCCTTTGCTCACGAGGTCATTTGGCTTTACCTTCAACACCCATGTCCACAAGTTCATTTGGCTTTCTGTAACCTGTCTTCAATAAAGTGATCATTTTGTGACCTTCTCTCTCTCTCTCTCTCTCTCTCTCTCTCTCTCTCTCTCTCTCTCTCTCTCTCTCCAAAATTTCACCAATCTCCATCTAAACTATGACTGCAAGAGTTATATTTCAAAATATCACAAGGTCATTTGGCTTTCTGTAACCTGTCTTTAATAAAGTGATCATTTTGTGGCATTTTCACTCTCTCTCCCTCCCCAGAATATCACTAATCTCCATCTAAACTATGACTGCAAGAGTTATATTTCAAATACCATATAATATTATTGCAATCGGAGCTTCATCTCTCTCCGGGATGAGCCATACAGGCATAAGACATGGATGGACAAAAGCACAAGCAGCCGATCCTTTTGATAATAACGAAGTAAATCGATAAACTGATTACACGAGTTGAAAAATGCCCGGAATGTCACGTTGAAATTTCAAGCAATCGCGGTCCTTGTCGGTTAAAGAGCCAACTAGTGATTGAAGGGAACTTGACTTGTTCTTGGTTCTTGAAGTTGAGATCTAAAACGATTCGAACACTTAATTCTCGGGTTCAAGAAGTTGATGGCAAGAGATCTCGTGCAAGAAGTTTGGTCATGGCTCCATTGAATATTCACCGCCGGAGAGGTGCGGGAAATTGAAGAACATAAATCATAGCAAAAGCAAATTGTATTTACATGTTAGAAAATTGATATGCGATTAGAGTAATCCTTATTAAGATTACACATTGCCTATTTATAGGCTATTGGATATACAACTTTTTATCAGACACACTACCACACAACATCACATAAAAATAAATGAGAAAATTGTCCAAAAAATCATAAACCTATTTGTTTACACCAAAAAATGACCAAGTCGTCAACATGTACAAGCACGTGGCTATTGCATGGATATTATCATGCATGTGATGCATTGTTGACAACCACAAGGATTGATATTGATATTAACGCACGTCGATAGTCATGACCGATCGATTGTCAATATACAAAGACTAATGGTTAATGATGATCGACAATGATATTGATCAATAAGGATCGCTAAGCTTTCCAGGGGTTAGAAGAAAGCTGAATGCCTAAGGAGCATCAAGATATGGTTCCAAGTTCAAAGTCACTAAAGAAAAAAGCAATTAGGATTGTGGAACAACTAGCATGCGTTTTTAAAAGATGCAATTGTTCGAGAACAAAATCACGCCATCATGAGAATATGGGCACAAAATTCTCGGAGATGAGATGAAGGAACATGGACACAACCGCTGGAAACTGCTCATAAGCGATTATGGCACTACCACTATAAATACCATTGCTCGTCTACTAAAGCACCCCCTTGCGCACAAATCAAACAAAAATGCAACCTTTCAATTATTTTTAATTTCCTACACTATACTTTTAGTTTCCAAACTCGCGTTGTCGATTAAATTCCGACGAGTTTCTTTATCATGGCTGTTGTATCATCGATTAAATTCTGGCATAGCATCTTCGCATTCTCAAGCTTCGTCGTCGATTAAATTCCGGCATTGTTTGTTTGCACTCAATTCTGTTATAGAGTTTGTATTTTCCAAACCTTGTCGTAGATAAATTCTGGCAAGATTTGTGTCTCTACAGTCCTGTGAAGTTGAAGTTGTTGATTCCCTTATCACCTGTGATATTTTATGTTCGGAGTCACTACAGAACCTTTCTCCCTTAATTAAAAACCGAAGAACGACTTTCCGATAAAGATATTTCATTACAGGAGAAATTCCAGCAAAACATTTTTTTTGGCACGTCTGGTGGGACCATGTGGCTAATTTGAGGAAATATGATGGTACATACAAGGCATTAACTCGATCCCGACAATGCTAGCGGTAAAAATTTACCACAACCTCCTATCAATGAAAGGGTGGGACAATTTAAGTCATCGACTACACAACCAGTGGCAGATTAAGCACAAGGTGGACATGTCAACATCCAAAGACAACTCACCAATGAGCAGAGAAGGCAGTTGGAACCAAGTCCAGTAATGGTAGCTTCTATATGGAGGTTGCTTGGTAGCGAATGATAACCATTCTGTTCCGGAATGAGTTCCTGAACCAGAAATAGATTTTTCTATTTCTGGTTCCTAGATGAGTTTCTGAGAAAAAAAACCCGTTTGATAATGACAAAAAATTTCTATTTCTAGAACAGAAACCCTTTTGATAACAGCACAAAATTTCTATTTCCTGAAATAAAAACCCGTTTGATAAACAACAGAAAATTCTATTTCCAGGAACAAAATTCCATTTTTTTAGAAATGGAATAAAAATAATAAAAAATCCGAAAAATTCATAAAAATCTTTAAAAAAATTCAGAAAATCCCAAAAAATTGAAAAATTCCAGAAAAAATCATCAAAATGTTGAGAAAATAAAAAAAATTTAGATTTCGGGAAAATAGGAAATTTGTTGAATTTTTTCAAAAAAAATCAAGAAATCAAAAATTTCAAAACTTCACAGAATTGCTTAGAATACCTGTGGCCACCCACTTTTAGTGAAATTTAAATTTTTTTAGGTGCAAAAAAAAATCAAAAAATCAAAAATTTCAAAACTTCACAGAATAGTTTAGAATACATGTGGCCACCCACTTTGAGTGAAATTTAAATTTTTTAAGGTGCCCAAAAATATTCAAAAACTCAAAAATTTCAAAACTTTACAAAATGGCTTAGAATACCTATGGCCACCCACTTTGAGTGAAATTTTAATTTTTGGAGGTGAAAAAAAAGCAAAAAATCAAAAATTGCAAAACTTCACAGAATGACTTAGAATACATGTGGCCATCCACTTTGAGTGAAATTTAAATTTTTTTAGGTGAAAAAAAACATAAAAAATCAAAAATTTCAAAACTTCACAGAATAACTTACAATACACCTCTAGCCACCCACTTTGAGTAAAATTTAATTTTTTTTAGATGCCCAAATAGTATTTGTTATTTTTTATTTTATTTTTTTTGGTTCCTAAAGAAAATTAAATTTCACTCAAAGTGGATGGCCACATGTATTCTAAGCCACTCTGTGAAGTTTTTAAAATTTTTCTTTTTTGCTTATTTTTATTTTTTTTTCGACACTTAAAAAAAAATTTCACTCAAAGTGGGTGGCCACAGGTATTCTAAGCAATTATGTGAAGTTTTTTATTTTTTATTTTTTTATTTTTTTCGGCACCTAAAAAAATTTAAATTTCGCGTAAAGTGGATGGCCACAGGTATTCTAAGCCATTTTGTGAAGTTTTGAAATTTTTTCTTTTTTTCTTTTTTTTTATTTTTTTGGCACCTAAAAAAATAAAATTTCGCTCAAAGTGGGTGGCCACAGGTATTTTAAGCCATTCTGTAAAGTTTTGAAATTTTTACTTTTTGGCTTATTTATATTTTTTTTGGCATATAAAAAAATTTAAATTTCACTCAAAGTGAGTGGCCACAGGTATTTTAAGCTATTCTGTGAAGTTTTGAAATTTTTTATTTTTTTTTATTTTTTTTGGCACCTAAAAAAATTTAAATTTCACTCAAAGTGGATGGCCACAAGTATTCTAAGCCATTTTGTGAAGTTTTGAAATTTTTGATTTTTTGCTTTTTTATTTTTTTCGGCACCTAAAAAATAAAATTTCGCTCAAATTGGGTGGCCACAGGTATTCTAAGATATTCTGTGAAGTTTTTAAATTTTAGAATTTTTTATTTTTTTTTTGGCAACTAAAAAAATTAAATTTTGCTCAAAGTGGGTGGCCATAGGTTTTCTAAGCCATTTTGTGAAATTTTGAAATTTTTTATTTTTATTTATTTTTATTTATTTTTTTCGGTACCTAAAAAAATTTAAATTTCACTGAAAGTGGGTAGCCACAGATTCTAAACCATTCTGTTAAGTTTTGAAATTTTTGATTTTTTGCTTTTTTTTCTCACCTCAAAGATCGTGACTTCCATATGAATATGTGTGTTGAAGAAAATGAATTCCTCAGAAATGGTTCTCACTTTTGTTCCAGAAATGAAAAACCAACTTTTTTTTGGTTCTCATTTCTGGTTTCAGAATCAGTTTTGGAAGCAAACTTGTCCCGGAAATAGAAAAATGAAATTGCGTTACCAAACGGATTTCTGGTCCAAAACTGATTCTGAGAACAAAAAATCAGTTCTGGACAGAACCAGAATGGTTTTCATGCAGCACCAACACCATAACAAAACACCTAACCACCTGATAAAGTACTTTATGGATGTGGTTAAGCCAATGATTGTCCATACCTTCCATAAAGTCATGCACAGGCAGGGAACATCAAGCCATTTAATTCAAATGCAGGCTAATCCTACTAATCATGCGCTGTCGAGGTATGTTCCTTCATCTACTACTACGTAAGTTACTTTTGGTACCATAGGAAACAAACTGCCACTTCACCACCACCAATTAGGATTTTGCAAATGGCTGAAATTTTTGGTACAACCCAAACCAATGAGGCGATACCTGTTGAAGTAAACCCAAATGGTCATAACAATGGCAATTTGGCAAATCAAAATACTCAGTAAAATTTGCCATTGCCAAATATGGAAAACGTATAGCCAGTTGCCCCAATACCTCTGGTTGATAATGTGAGACCAATTGAGATGATGACACAATATAACATAGAGCTGGTCCTATAGAGACCTAATGTTGTCATCGATAGCCAAGGTAGACCACCGTCTCCACCTAAGGGGCAGGATGGTCAAAGACCTGTAATAGAATTAATGGCAATGCCCAATCCAGTGTATGCTTCTCAAGGACCAAATATGGTGCTTGACAACCAAGTTAGACCACTACCTTTTCCTGGAGGATAACCTTTTTAAGTGATCACTAGTCAAGATCCCCAACAGGTCCAGTAATACTAGACCGAGTGATTCAAGGCATAGGATCTGACTCAGCGAATATCAAACCCATAGACAGAAAGCTATATCCAGAGTGGATGGATGTGGTTCCTTATCCAAGAGTTTTTAAGATGCTCGATTTTCACCTATTCTTTGGCGAAGAAGAGCAATCGACAGTAAAGCATGTTAGTCGATTT